AGGGAAATTCTGACCTCAGTGAAATGGCAGAGATTTCAAGGAATTCATTTATCTCTCTGACTTCTTTTTTAAGACCTAGTTGACACTACTAAACATTTCAGTATTGCATTTCAAGTTAGCGTAATGCATCTGTTAAAATGTTTTTTGTTTTTGCTTTTTCCAAATGCCACAGAGAACAGAAATGTGATGCAGTGGGTAGGTTCACCAAAGCAATGGATGATGGAGTTAAAGAGCTGCTGACAGTGGGACAAGAGCACTGGAAGAGGTGTACAGGGCGTAAGTGTCCCTTCTGAACTCAGCAGCCATTTCTGTGTTGCTTTTCTCTCTTTTTTTTTTGTTGTTTTATTGTTTATAATTCAAGGCACATCTTAAAACTAAAGGAAATCCTAAATTATCATGAGGATTGTATGGCATTCTGGCTGCTTTCAGTGTCTGAGAGTATAAATTGTGCAAGTTTTTTGTTACTGTGTTTTGCTTTTTTTTTCCCCCCCCTTATAACAGAAATATCTGGTCCCTGCCCATAGGTTTAAAAATATTAAAAGTTAAATAATTCTAGTAATCCAGCTAAAGCCCTTTTTGGACCTGTTCTCATATATTTGTCATTTATGTACATTTTAGTGACATGGGCAAAGTAGACCTGTCTATTTGATGAAATCATAAATGATTGCATTTTATTAACCCCTTATTTAGGATTCTTGCATGCCAGGAAGAGTGATTTAGAAATGAAATGAGTTTCAAAAAAGAAAAAGAAAAAAAACAACTTGATTCTAACTTAATCTTTAGCCCAATTCTTTTTCTCCTATCTTGTCTCTTCCTTCCCACAGATATTTAGGGTTGCAGAACTTCACACCAAGTCCCTATGACTCTGCCTGGGCTCTAATTTCCTAGTCCACAGCAGTGTTCAGTGTTTGTGGCCACCACAAGGCAGCTATTGAAAGGAAGCAGGTACTACAGCTGAGGACCATAATAAGAAACACTTCAGGGCAGGCTGTAGTGTCTGGCGACCAAAGACCTATCACATAAATCTCCTCAAATCTCCTCCGTTTTTTTTCTTTCCTTTTTTTTTTTTTAAACTTTTTTTAATTCCCACAAAAAAACATTGTCCCCAAACTTGGGAATAAGTACATCTCCTGAGTTATGTCTTTGCTGCTTTCTAATCTAACGCTGCAGTTGAATATCTGGGGCTGACTGGAGGGAATGGGAAGTATAGAAGCCCAGTCTCTTCTAGTAGTTGATTACATTAGACCTTAGTACCTGTAGGATGTGAACTTTAAATTATATACGTTTCTCCACTTTGAATAAGATGGTTTCCTTCTACATATCACTGACCCTCCTGCTGGTCAAAAATAGTCTAACACAGGACACAGCTCTAACATCGTACAGATCTCACTTCACTAGGAAATGATACCGAGGGGGAAGCGAAGGGCAGGGGAAGGAATAAGGTCCCTCAGATGGGACTAGAAAAATAGCATTGCTTTTCAGTTACAGAAGCAGTGATCAAAACCACCATAGTTAAGGGCTGGCTGTGACTTGTGCTTATGGTGGTATACAGTATTTTGTTCACTGCTAAAATCTCCCTAAACTTAAGACACTAGTGCTTTAGGTATGGAATGACTCTTCTAATACTTACAGCTATTAATTAGTTAGCATAAATGCAGTAAGTCAGATGTGATTGTGTTGAAAATTTTAACTTTTAACTTTCCAGACATTCATACTGAATAGAAAAAGGAGATTGGTAAATCGGGACATGCAAAACTGAAGAATTTCAGTAACCTCTTAGGTTTTAAGTTCCCTGTCAGCTCTAGTCCCAACTCCTAGTCAGAATTATTTTTGGTGCTTTCTGAGCAATAATTACATGTATTCCATTCTATGATATTTAAAATGACTGACAGTGGAAACTTCTTAAATGCAAGTGAAAAGAAACCAAATATTCTTCACTGAAGTTTTCAGTGGGGATTCAGTAACAAGTTAATGGCTGATAACAGAACTGTAGTACTCTGAATGATACTTCTTGTATAAGAAATACCAGTTGTCCTAAGTAATCTAACTTCTGGGCAAGAACTTGATCAAAGATAATCAATAAAATTATGCGGTTTGGGGGTTTGTTTTTTGGTTTTCGTGGGTTTGGTTTTTTTTACCACACAAAGGGGTTTTTCTGTGAAAATCAGATCGTGTGGGATGCTAGAGCAACTAAAAACCTGCTATTTACCTGGACAATGTACCCTCTGATGTTTGACAACAAAAAGCACGTCTACTTCGTTTTTTTTCTGCTAGCGTAGGTAGATTATAAAAAATTGCTTTCACTTTTCAGGTAGCTTTTTAGGCCTCTGGGGTGGTGGTATTCAAAGTGTTAATAATGAATGCGCTCATAAATCACAGCTTACTGACTTCATTGTGAGGAAGCAATTAATGCATATATTTTCAATAAATAGATTATTAAAAACTATTTTATTATTCAGATACTTGCATCATCTTTATCCCTAGTTAATCTTGGTTCCTAGTGCCTTTAAATATAAAATCCTTGATTTGAGGAGAGTTTAGGTATTATAGGTCTGTATAATAATCCCCTCTTAAAATATTAATGAGATCTATTCTCCATATTACTGCAGCACTTCCCCCCCACCCCCCCTAGGGAGGATAAAGTCTGCTCATGAGGGGGAGAAAAAAAATCTCACTGTATGCATAGAAGGACTGAGCTAGGATGCAGTGAGATTTTTTTCTTCTTTTTTTATAGCAGTCACACACTGTTTCCTCAACTGTTTGTGGCTTTCAAGAATCCAGACTGCAATAGCTTTATCCAGTTTTGGAATGTCTGTAGCAGGGGAGGGGGTAAGAATGTGACTGTAAATGCTTCACTAGAAGAAATGTGAAAAGTAGTTGGTTTTGACATCTGCTTCTATCAAGTTTTGGAAATGCTGCAGATCTAGTTTCACTTACCCTTGTGGGTTTTTGCTTCTGTTTCCCTCTTTTCGCCATCCTTTTCCCCCTTTCAGCACTACCCAAGGAATACCAGAAGATAGGAAAAGCATTGCAGAGCCTGGCACTGGTCTTCAGCACTAGCGGATACCAAGGTACTTCTGTAACTTCATTTGTATTTCACTTAACAAAAGATATTTTAATTAATCATGCTACATTTTTTTTCCAAAGATCTTAATGCTTTCCTCTTTGAACTTTAGATGTCAAATATGATTCTGGAAAAAGTATTAAAAACTTGTTTCCCTGTATGTATTATGGGGTTTTTATATTCTAGTCTGCAATCTTGTTTTCTTTCACTGTGTAATCATGTGGTGTGTTGGTGGTGGTGGAGAAGTTTAGCTTGATCTCATTAATATATAATCTGGTCATTGACCTGACTGACAAAACATGCCGTAGCATTTTTTGTGATATCAAAGGAAAGGGGAGAAAATGCGGCTTTGAAAATATCTGTCATATAACTATTGTGTGACTTACTTCATGAAACAACAACTCCGTATGGGGATGGAAAACTTATTACAAGATTTTTGTATACCATTATGTGGGCTGGAGGGCTGGCTACTGTAGCCTTTTCTGGTCCTTCACCTTTCCTTCTCCGTCAAGAGCCTTAAAATAGAGCCTGTCATGTTAGGTATGAAAGTTGTGGGAGGGAAAAGGAGGGCATCCATTGCTCAAAGTTCTCCTAAAATGTAGTCTTTAGGCCAAACTTAAAATGCTGCTTTGTTATGTTAAGTTCTGCTGATGTTTTCCAACTGGAAAATATTTCCTCATATCCCAGAGGGAGCTAATTGAGTCCATTTTCTCTGGGATTCTCTTGTCAAATGTATTTTTTTTTCTTTTTTTCCTAGACTTAATAGCAAAATTGCTCTGTTCTAAAACCTTAAGTTTTATAGCATAGAGGCTTCCTGAAATCTTTCCATCTTAGGAGTTTTAGTTGACCAGTACTTACCAGTACTCATCTATCCCTTGCTTTGTACTCTTAAAGCTTTTTGCCCCATAAACCATGTATTAAAATGCAACCACTTCTGAAACTCAGGTTCCTTGCTGGAAACACTAGAAATAGGCATAGTCCCTGTAGTTTGTTCTCATCTTTGTCCTGTACTTCAACAGGATGACTGCTTAGTTAGAATTGGAGCATAGCATATTGTCTAAAACGTTACTTTTGGATGTGAGAACCAGGTAGGGGATTTGCATAGCTACGTACTCTTAGTATGGGTTAGAAAACTGTAAATCCTAGCCAGATACAATCTGTAGCAAGGATTCTTGAGAAAGGACTGAAGATTGCTTGAACTATAACACATGTTCTTTTGCCAGGGTAAAGGGAATACAGTATGGCTTTAAAGCTAGGATGCAAAATTGCAGATCAACCTTACGAAGGAAAGCTTCAGTTTGATTTCCAGCATCTTTGAATGGTATGAAAAAATAGATCCCATGATGCTTGGGAACAAGGCAAGGATGTTTCTCTTTGCTGTTTGCCTAGTTGTACCTGGTTGCACCTTAGTATCTTGCTGAGGAAAATGCCCTTCCCACTGATGCCTTTGTCCTGATTCCACTGGTACACCAGTGTATTTTTCCAGAATTAATAACATATGGGATTCTTTATTTTTTAATTTGAGTTCCCAGGAAGAGAGAATAAGTGCAGTGCACGTGTTGCTTTAAATGTGTTCATCACTGCTGCCCTCACTCTGTCTTACCTGCTGTTCATGTACAATTTCATTTGATGATTGCCTCAGGTACAGGTCTGTGGATTAAGCAGACTCTATGCAAGAGATGTAAGCACCTGGATTTAAACTGGTAGGATGCAGCTTTCCTGAGCTCAATATTTAAAAGAAGGCACTGGACCTATTCCTTCAAATGAAGAAGTACTAGCTAGGCTGAGTGTGGGGCCTGATTTTTCTGGACTATCGGTAAAGAGGAATGGCTCTTCAGCCATACTTAAAGGCACTCAGTTCACTGTCTGTTGGGAGATGAATCTCTTCATCCTCTTCTTTTTTTTTTTTTTTTTTTTTTTTTTTTTTTAAAAAAAAAAAACAACTTGAGATCTGGAAATTTAAGATATAGGCTGCTGAAGGTCGCAATGACTGATTTGATGACACAAACATTTCCAGCTACTGGTAGCTGACTTCTGCATACTGAATACACTGTTAGTTGGTTCATTTGCACAGTTAGGATGGGATGTGTCTGCTGTCCTTACCTCTTTCACCAGTGCTGCCTGCTTGCTCTGCAAAGCCTTATTATGTGTGGTGAATGTCTATTGCCTTCTCTTCTGATTTCCAGCCTAAAATGTTTAATATTGCACCAGACAAGATGCAGTTGTTAGTGACGCATTCAAGCTCTTTTTCTTGTGCTGCAGAATGAGCCTTATCAATTAATTGCCAGCCACAGTGCATATTAGGAATCTGTCCCCAGTATTTGCAGGGGCAAGGGTACCTTTAGAACTATTAAGGACACACTGAGAGATTCTCATTTAACTTGGCCATGGGCCTACGTGCTGTCTGATTGGTTTTAGGAACATGTATGATCCATGTATGGTCTAAAAATGCATATTGGACAGTTCCATTGAATATGCCTGGAAGCGTCTTGCAGCCTGGCACTACATTGCCTATCCTATTGCATCATACAATGCTCTTAGCTTGACACAGCCTTAAATAGCATGGCTTCTCTTCTGCGGCGCCAAATCTGGGCACGTCCTTCTCCTATATTAAGAAAATGTGAATGGCTGTGGTATGCCATTCAACCATAGTAAGATCTCCTAATCCTACATCACCCCTCAGTAATTTTGTTAGGAAATGACATGCAAGTTTCACTATTCTGCCAGCTAGCACAGGCACATCTTGCCTTCCAAGCTGCTTGTCTGCTGAACATTATCAGTCTGAGGTGTACTTGTCAAGAAGAATCTTGCTACAAGTAGTTCCCTAGTACATCAAACTTGATCTTTTTCCTACTCCTGGATTCTGTTAAAACACGCTTTGAAAGAAAACAAAAACACTTCTTGACAAAAAAAATTCTGCTGCCCTAATCAAGTCTTACAGAGTATTAGTTCCCTCAATATGCCTGGTGTATTCCTTGAGAGGTGATAATCACTGGTGTTTACCAAGCAGTTGAACTGCTAAGAGATGTTCTGCTAAACATCTCCAAAAGACTCCTTGTAGTTTTACATGTTCCTTCATCTACCTGTGACAGCATGCAGGCCTGTAAATCAATGAAAGTATCAGTTTCTTCTCGTGGTTGGGTTAAAATATCTGTAGAATATTACTGGCCATTTTAACTGGTCTTTTTACAACTACTTTTAGTCAGTGCTTTTAAGCCCTCTCTGTTTCTTGTGGGGATATACGTATTCTGCCCTAATTCTGTAATGTAAATGTCAGCAGCATGTGGGGCTTTCTGCTTTTCCATTGATTAAAGAACCCCTGACATCCTGGTATATCCTTGCACTGGGACCCAGCTCAGCTTTCACGGCTTGAGTTAAGAAGCCCATTCCCAGCATCGCATCAGTTCAGAAGCTGAGAATGCTAGAAACTTGGCCCTGTCCGAGTAACAAAACTCTGACCAAAAACCGTGCTGACAACAGTGATAGGGAGCAATGTGCTGCTGGAATTCAAGTTACTCTGATGGGTGAGCATGTGGGTTGCGTGCGGTATCTCTGATAAAGTGGCCTGGTGTAGGGAGTGACCGACTGAGCATGGCATGACACTGCTGATAACGTGTATTAGAACTTGGAGGGTGTGTCAGGTGTGAGATGAAATCTGACTCTTTAAGGCTGCCCTGGCACTATCTGAAAAAGAGATTGTAGAAGAGAAGGATGCAGTGTGAGGAGCTGCAGATCTTCTACCACTTGTGTGCCTGCCTATTGTTGGGATCCACTGTCTGGAACAACTTCTAAATATACTATCCCTTAGCCCTACTTCTGGAGGGGTGTGAATGCCTCTGCTAGTAGTAGAAACTCTTAATGCACCCTGTGCCTTCTACAAGCTGGCTTTGTGCCCTGCTGCCCCCAAACGAAAGACAGTCGGTGTTGGGAGGGTTTGTCTAGGTTCTCTGAAGCTCCAATCTATGAAGGTCCTTTGAGTGAGTTCTGCATAGAAGGGGAGGATTTTCTCTTTCTACTCAAATATACATACTCTTCCTCTTTCTTTTTGCTCAGATAGGAAAAGTCATCATCTTTTATGGCATTATGAAATGAACAGCAACATCTAGACCAACCTGGCTTCTGAGTCTAATTAAAGCCACACCATGTTTTGTCCCAAAATCTAGGAGTCAGTTGCCTAAGCAGCAATTACTTCAAGGTTACATCTGAGCAGACATGGGGAATTCTGAAATAATGAAATTATTTAAGTCTACCTGAAATAATGAAATTGATCTCCCTGAAATTTTTTTACTGTTTTACAACAATGTGAAGATATCTTCTGAATTATGTACCTCTTAGATCTCACAATGGGATTTCATGTTGGTTTTACTTTTTTTATCCAGACAGGCTCAAAAATTTTTCTCATAGGAGAAAAATAACTATTTCTTTAGCAGTACTTTTGTTGCTGGACTTACTAGTTCTTAGGATCAGTAACTTTCCCTCAAAACTTTTGCCTTTATGAAACCAGCCTAATGGAAAGTAAGAATTGATTGATAGAACTGAAGCAATATTCAGTTATTACCTTGTTTCCTTTAGGGCATGCTAAAATGAAGGAATCCTACCTAATAAATCTCTAACATAGATTAGTCCATGTGTTGTAGTAGAAGAAGGTACTTTAATGTTCAAATTAATCATTAATGAAATCAGTGTGTGGTAATTTTCAATTAAGTCACTGATTAATGTCTATAGAATAAAAACAAAATGTTTGTAAAAGACTAACTGCTGTCTAATATCAAGACATGTCTGAAAGGATGAGAAAAACCATTTTTTCTTAAACTAATATTCGATATCTGCAAATTATACCTTCCCCTTTCTCTACCTCAATTTGCTTTTTGTACTGTTGACTACATGCTTTGGACAAGCTAACAAGGATGGAAAAAACCTATGGTGGTTTGGGAAGGTGAAGTGGCATGAAAAAACCAAGAATGTAAGGCTTGTTTCTGTCTTTGTCCCACATAGCCATGTCCTGCTAGTAATACAGTGTTATGAGTGCTTGTGGTGTTGTCTAGCTTAGGATTTGTTGTGATGTCTGTATTTTTAAGTGTAGTTTGTGGGGCCCTTTGATCTATTTCATATGATGATGAAAGTTAGAAACTCACTCTCAAAAGCAGCGATTCTTACAGAGCTTGAAAATATTATCCAAGAGTTCCCTAAAGGGTCAGAAATCTTGTTGGCAAGGAAAAAAGTTAGTTGGGCCTCCTTCCACTTCTCTGACCTTCTAACAATTACAGTCCAGGACTGCTGGAGAGCTTAGGGCTAGCATCAGTGCTCCATAGGGCATCATGGAGAATTTACTGCTTATCAGGTATGAAAATCATTTATTAAAAATCAGAACAGCAGGTGTCTCTTCAGCTTTCTTAGTCTATCTTCTAGTGTCACCCTCCTCATTCTTCCTTCCCTCCCATTCTGGTAGGCTTCCTGTTGCCCCATGTGGGGGAATACCTGTGTATTTAAACTACTTACAATTACGAAATGTGGAAGTGAATAGCGCTAGTAGTATGGTAGAACAGTGTTTACATGGTCCCTTTAGCATTCATTTTCTACAAGATCTTCTTTAATGGTATAAAAACTAATATTTTTCTAACTTCTTTATTACTGCTGTTTATAAAATTATGATTAGGTATTTATTATTGTAAAATAAGCTATTTTAGAAATTTGCCTTGAATTAGGGCAAGTTTCTTACTGTAATTGACTTACTGTAATTTGAACACTGATGTTTACTTTCAGGAGAATCTGATCTCAATGGAGCAATAACAGAAGCAGGAAAAACCTATGAAGAAATCGCCAGTCTTGTAGCAGATCAGGTAGGAGTATTATGAATGCATTGGCATAGTGTGTACAAACATACCACCTATTTGGATCACTTCTGACGTTTCTTTTTTTCTTTTCTGTTAAAACATAATTGCTAGAGCTGCAGACCAGTTAAATGAAGTTACTATAATACTTTTAAATGGACTTTCATCTTCTTTTCTACTATGTGTCAACTTAGGGGGGACGTGACGGGAGAGTATTTCTCTTGGATCAGAAAGATCACATTCTGGTTTCTAAAATAGTAAAATTATTACTTCCTTTTTAAATGTGTTTGGTTTTTTATGTCAGTGAGCTGTCTTCATTATTGATACAAACGAATGAGATTTAATCAAGGATAGGGTTTCTACCTTCCCCCTGCATTCCCCAAATGTCTACAGGATCCAGATCTTGCTTCATTTCATTGTGTTGACATGCAATTGCCTGCTTCAGTAAAAATCTAGCTTGAATAAATCCTGATTGGTATCAGCATTCAAGTCATAAATTGATGTTTAATGTATTAAGCTTAAAGTCTCCAAAATGCAGATCCTCCTGATCTCAAGGTTGAGTCTGGAAGTTCCTAAAACAGCTTTCCAAGTCAGCGACTAAGGAGATGCACCTGTGCATGCAAATATCTGCATATGTAATGAGATTATTGCGTAATAGTGCTATTGCTAGGACTGGTAACTCTTCTTCAGTGAATATTTGAGGCAAAAGCCCTCACTTCATAAGCTCGTGTTGAGTAAAACAAAGAACAGAGGCATCTGCTCACTGGTGCTCAGTACCTTACTCCAAAGAGCTTGTATTTTAATAAGGGCCTTTTTAAATGTGAAAAACTTGCAACAAACAATTAAGATTTTAGGTTGGATTTTTTGTATTCTTTCCTTCTCTTTTTTCCCCTCACCCTTTTCTGGCATCATGGTTTCTTTTCTGTGATGTTAAAATGCCACGGATAATTTTACTAATGCTTACGCTTTGTTTATTAGCCGAAGAAAGATCTTCACTTTTTGATGGAAACAAATCATGAATATAAGGGGTTTCTTGGTTGCTTCCCTGACATCATAGGAGCTCATAAGGTATGTGAGGGGCCTTTCCTTTTAAGGGTTGGGCAGTAGGAAGATCTACAGCAACAAAAGTGGTGGTATGGTACTCTGCATTTGTGCAGCAGCCTGGCCCCTGCTTCCAGAAACACTGAAAGTTTCTGCGAAACTGGCATGTTGATTTTTAAAATAAAAAAATACTTAGAGGGGAGGGAAGCCAGAACTTTTCTCAAGATTTGAGAGTATCAGGCCTTTCTGCTATAGTAGAGCACTAGAAGCTTCATGATTTTCTTCAGGTTAGCTTCGTGTCCCAATGTGGTGAATAGCAGTAGTGTAAATTTGTAGTGTTTGAGTCTTACATGGTAGCTGATACTAAAACATACCAGTATCGTAGGAAAAATTGTGTATGCTTACATGGCTACCTTACTGGTATGTGATAAATAATCATGCACTGCTCAGAAGTTTCTTCAATATTAAAAAATAGAGAATAGGGCTAACTTTTCGGGGAGGAGGGGGGAACCCCAGCAACAGAAAAACAACCACTTTGTTCTCTGTAATATGAAAGCCATCAAGTAATAAAACAATAAATTTAGCCTTGTGTCTAGTTTTGGATATTCTGCTTTTTTTTTTGGTCCTAGAGTTTTCTTTATGTTATGTGCCTGCTGTACCGTTTTTCAGAAAACTAAAAATTTTGAAGTATTAAACAAGTACACAAGTTGGTTTTTGGGGGTTTTTTTTTACCACTTGAAGTGTTAAATGTATAAAACAAGAACCTACTTCTGAGAGCAACAACGATAAAAGCATATCAGATTTGTGTATTCTTTCTTCAGGACACTTACGGTCCCTCAACCCACAGAATCCTTGGGGAAAAATACCATAAAAGGAGAAGAAATGTTTTTAAAATTCAAAACATAAGCCTACTGCCAAGAGACATGTAAATAGATTCTCCTGAATGTTGTTTGGCACAAATACATTTTGAAGGGGGAGGCATTTCTTTTTATGCTTGTTGTTTATGTGACACAAGGATTTTCCTGAATTGAAAGTTATAAACTGCAATGAGTTCTAGTCTCTTGGAAAATAGTTTATGTTGTCTCATCTTGTATAATATGCAAATAAGGTTCTACAGGCATTTCATAGTTTGAGGCTTTTGGATCTCTGTTGTGTTGGTCAGCTGTATTTTGAAACTTGGTCCTTTCGTCCTTTCTGTATATACCCTTGTCTATGACTGTCTTTACCAAACTCAATTTCCTAGTGACTGTGTTCATGTCTGTGTTTGAAGTCACTTTTTGCAAGCCGTTAGGACTCTTGAAAGCAATAGAGTGAAATAACAAACTTTGGGTGAAAACGTAGGAAGGCAGAATCGGTCCTTGTGCGTATATATATGTTTATAGCGTGTAAGCTCAAAATGTGGCCAGTGGCATTTTAGATGACTATAAAGACCTTTAAGTTAACTGATCTTTTAATCTTCTCTTTTAATCTTTCTGCATTTGGTTTCTACAGGGAGCAATAGAAAGAGTGAAGGAAAGTGATAAATTAGTTGCAACCAGTAAAATAACGCCACAAGACAAACAGAACATGGTGAAACGTGTGAGCACCATGGCTTATGCACTACAAGGTAAACCAAATTTTGGGCTAAATGGCAATGTTGTAGACCTCTGAAGGACATCTCTTAAGTAACAAACTTGGAAAGAGAATCATTGTTCTACCGAGAATGATAATAAGAGCTAGGCGTGGTTGGTTTTTTTCCTTTGTGACCTGCTTAGATTTTCCTAAAATTGCAGTTATTTTTCCCATGGTTTTCTTTCAAATCTCATATTGCTATTGCAAAAGAGACATGTTTTGGAAATACAATTTAAAAACAAACAAAAAACCAAACCCAAACAAAAAAACCCACCACCACACCATCCCAGACTGGTTCTTTCATTTTGAAGTGATAATGTCTCAAAGAAAAAGCATGGGCCCTGGTGCAGGCAGCAGTTCATCATGTGCAGAAGTGTTTTTCTGACTCATGGTTTAGTCAGACATGATCCAGTTGAGATTCATGTTCTTGTGGATAAGATTTTATTTCTTGGATGTTCTTTGAATGAACTTTTTCCTCTTTAGGTTAGAGATGTTGTAAATATGAGACGTAGCACACCGCACTTGAAAAGCCGGGGAAGTGAGGAGTCAGGGCTCAGTCCTGCAGGATATCAAGCCCTTAAGTGCATCCTGTTACTGACTTCAGTGAGACTACTCATTGATGAGGGAGTTGCATCTTTTTTAGCTGACTTAAAGCCAAGAGTACTCAGCATTTTACAGGACAAAGGTAGAGCAGCACACAAAATTTATTTTAAAAACAAACAAGAAAACTCCCCACCCCCTCCTTCTTCCTGGTCATGATGCAAGAGGACTGTGCTGTATAAGGATAATCATGGAAGAGACCTCTAGGATGACTTTTACAATTTAGAATATTTCTTCTCCCTCTATTGGCATCTCAAAATATATTTAACTTTTTATTTCAGCCGTAAGCTGATCTGACAAGAGATGCAGAAAGTGGTGAAAGGTGTTACAGGTTCAGTAATGCTGTTTCTCAGGTTTCTACTGAAACAACCTCAGTCAAAAATGGGTCAAACGCTACTGGCTGTATCTTTTTTTTTGAGCTAAATATTTACAGCTGTGGCTTGCAACTTGATACGTGACTCTTTTGGAAACACTTCAGGAAAGAGCAGTTACCTCAGTTGGAGAAAATCCTGCTTGTATTCTTTATCAAATCTTTGTACACCTGAGTATTTTAACAAGAACCTGGCTTTATCCAGGAAGTGTCCATATTTTATCAGTGAGTGAGTGACACCCTACCAATTTTACGAACAGTTCCATCATAACTTGAGAGCTGCAGGCAAAACAGGTTGTGGAAGCATGAGAACAGGAACTACGCTGGCAGGGCTGGACACTGAGCTTGTTGTACAGTAACTAATCTGAACTGAGTGAAACTGTTCCTAATTACGAATGCTTCTCTTAAATAATTTGCCTCCTGGGTCTAATTGCAGCTGAGATGAATCACTTCCACAGTAACCGGATTTATGACTACAACAGTGTCATTCGTCTCTATCTGGAGCAGCAGGCACAGTTTTATGAAACGGTAAGGTGTAGTATTTCAGTGCCATTTTCCTGGCACGTATTGTGCTGCTACTTTTTATAAGAAATACTCGTCTTTTTGTATGAGCTTCTTGCAGAGAGCAGGTATTTGAAGACTTGTACACAGAATGAGTTAAAATAATATTTTCCTATAGATACTATTCCTATGTACTTGACTATGTCATATTAGACCTATTAGACCTAAAAAACAGTGTTGAGAAACATTATTGTTGACAGCTTGATTTTTTCTTCAGTGCCAGTACTAAGGTTACAAAACCTGATGTATACGAGTGTGGGGCGGGAGTGGTTTAGGTGATTTATTAAATACGTCAACTCTGAGCACTTGACCTACAACCTTAGATCTCATTTAAAATTGTTCTTATGCATGTATTCCTTGTGGTTTTTTAAATGAAACCCGAGAACAAATTTTCTAATGTGATATGCTGGTAAAACATGTGAGTTTGAGTATGCTGGAACCTGACTTCTATCACTTAAAGGAGTAATATAAGCAACTGGTTGCCCTTCACAGCAGTAAAAGGTGCCAGTGGGGGGCTTCAGAGGTATTTTCAGTGGATGAGAACTTTAGGTCCCCCATCACTTGCTCAGTTTCTCTGACACATCTGATGGGGTTAGGCATAAGTTTCTCTTTACCTTCTTTCAGTTGCTTGTCCAGTCTATCCCAGTTCTTCTGGTTGCAGCCTCACCAGTCTCCTTGCACCAATCTTCTCTCCCCCAGTACAGGGACCAGATCCACGTTCACATGTGAGGTGCTGGCTACCATGAGACCTGCAGGGAGAGCACAGGAGCTCTGTTCTGATGTGTGGCCTTGTTTCAGCAGGGAAATGGATTTCATGAAAAATCTGGCTTTGTTCCTGTAACTCTCCTGCATAGTGCAGTGCTAGATAACCTAATAGGCAGGATGACAGCCCTGCCTACATACTTTCTCCAACACAACCTGAGTGGTGAAAGCACAAAATAAACAAGGCAGAAAGTGTATATGCAAGAAGAAAAGTCTTTAAAATGGAATGCTTTGAGTCCTACGTACACAAAATCTGCAGTAAAAACTGCAGTTTTTCAGAAAATGAGGGAACAATTCATTTAACTTCTTAGCCTGCAATCTTATTTCTGCATACTGCAAAGTGACTACATATTTAACACGTTCTGCTTCTTTGTTTCAGATTGCACAGAAGCTGAGGCAGGCACTCAGTCGCTTTCCTGTGATGTAGAGAATAAGGAGTAGTCAACAATAAAGAACAACTCCGAAGTGCTTTTCTGGTTTGGGGGCAATGCCAATAAACGCTTGTTAGCCTTTGCCAGCCAAAAAACCCCACCAAAAAAACCCCAACAACAATCAGTTATAGAAAAAAAGAATTATTTAAAATTTTACTTTATCAGCCTAAATCATAAGATAAGGTTCTCTTTATCTTGAATGCTCTCCCATTTGTAACATTATTTAAATAAAAACAGCTAGATAATGCTGTCAGTTTAGGGATCTAAATTATCAAACTGGTATGTTGCCATGGTCTTCACGCAGACTCGTGTCTATCAGATGTTCTCCACAAACTCTTAATCAACATCAGAGTTACAAATTTATATCTTTTTTTAAAGTGGGAAAGCAGATAAGCTTGAGAAAATGACTTTAATACTCATTATATTCAATTCAGCTCTCTAGGGATTCAGTAGCCAGGAGGAATTATATTTGTGTATGTTTCTGGTACATGTTCATGGTAATCTCCTGAATGAACACTTTGTTCTAAGTTTTGCTTCCCATACGCAGCCATGGCATACTGCTCCCATTATGACTTCTGGTAAATATCATGCATTTGTCCCTTTCTTTTTTTCCTTCTAACTAAATCTTGTACTTGTGGCACAACACCTCGGAGCTTATGTCAAGCTCTTTCTTTCTCACTATGCACTGTACAAAAAGACAAACAAGGAAAGAGCCATTCAGGAAGGTGTGAGAAACAGTTTTCCATACCAGCACTTTGACACCTCACAATGTTATGCCATAAGGCCCTGGTGTTCCTCAGTGCTGTACAGGGCCAGCTTCCCTTTTACCCCTCTGAGAGTTTCAGGTGTTTCAACAGAGGGGACACTGCCACATCTAACCCAAACTAGTAGAAGTCCCCAAATCCAACTAAGCTCAGGTCTTCATGTAGTAGTATGTATGCTATTGGTTTGGGTTTACTTTTTGTTACCTTCTAATGCAAACTAAAAGGTAACAAAAGTACTGAATAACATCTTTGGTTATCACACAAACTTTGTGCTTTGATCATCATCTCTTACCAAGTGGCCCAGTGTCCTCTTTCGTAGTACTGAAATATGATTTGAGGCCTGGGCTTTTCAAAACAAAAAGCCACCACCAACCCTGTTCACAGTGGGCACCAACTTCAGTGCCCAACTACATTTAACCAACTACATTTAATGCCATAAGCAAGCAGGAAAGCCAAAATGCAGTTTTTGCTAAAATGTGCCTAGAGCATAAAAAATTTTAGCAAAAAAAAAAAAATTTTTTAAAAAGGCATTTTACCAATAAGCCATTCTAAGTGACGGGTACAGTCTGCTGGTTGAATAGTTGCCTTATTCTGTTTTGTGTTGGTGTTGCTTTTGTGTGCTAGAAGGAAAATCTGGGTTTGCCTGAATAACCTGAAACCAAACCAAACAAGACTAAGCCTAAGTCTAGATGCTTTTCAGTGTCACGGGTTTTGTTCATGTTTTACAAACCTTGTCTTTCTCCTCCCAATTTTAGTTGTTCGCTTCCAAAATTCCATAGCGCAGTGTTGTTTGATACAGCCATTTAAATAATGTACAAATTGTAAAGAATGTGTATAAATGTTTTACACCAAATGTAAGATCTGCTTGCATGTAGAAGCAGCTTATATAATAAATTGTTACAATGTGTACAGTAAATTCTGAAATCACTTTTTCAAGCCAGCATTTTTTTAGTATTTGTATATTCACTTTTTGGTAATGAAATCTTTGTAACAGACTCTTAATTTGGGAGGGGGAAGGGGTGGGGTCTTTTTACCAATCTTTAAATAGCTCCGTATGCACTAAAGTTGAAGGTTCTTTATCTTGAATAGATTGTTTTTGAATCTAAGTGTAAGCTGTGCATTTCCAGTGCAGGGAAGCTATGACAGTAGCAACTGTATCAGAGATGCAACATTTCAGCAAAAAAGAAAAACTGTTTAAAGACTTCTAGTAAAATGAAGTTAAATTGATAATAAATATTTATGTATATCCACAAGACTATTTTATTTTTTTTCTTTGAAATCATCACATTGCTTTTTAACAGGGTGATGCTGTATGAGGCAAATCCTTCTTATAGCTTTTCATCAGCTTACAGACACTGGCCAGCTGAGGAATGAGAAAGCATCCATGTGTCTTCCATAAAGCAGGCATCACAACTGAACGGTATAATAGTGCTAGTGACTACAAACCAGCAAAGGCTACGCATATGTTGTAAGCTTTCATTATTCAGGTCAGTCCAGCTCGTGGTTGATGGAACCCTCCTGACTGCAAATAAGTAGTAGAGCACAGTGCTACTGTGTATTTCTGGCTTAGTGTCAGCATGGTGTTGACCCAGAATAGAAATTAGATTGTCTTTGGTATTTGTTTTTTAAATTAGACATGAATAGTGGCATAGTTAGGTTGGGTGAGTTGGGAGCAACAGAAAATCTTCACTCTGAAGATGCAGTCATAAACCAAGAATAACAAGTTAGAGTAAGACTTGTGCAGTGCCCTCCTGAATTTTGTTTCTCATAGCTGAATAATTAATCTTTGGAGATTCAAAGGCTTCAAAAAGCCTTAATACTGTTTCCAGGCTTACGCTTTTCTTTGAGGGCGAGGTATAGCCAAACACTGGTATTATCCCAGTGACTTTGTAAAAGGCGTCAAATGCCCTAGCTGTTGGGTTTAACCTTTTATTTTAATTGCTTATTCTGTTACTGCTAAAATACTAAATTAATTCTTTAACAATAAAAAGGTAGCTACACAAAGGGGAATGCTACCTGTGTTTCTCGTCTGCAGTTATTAGACTGCAGCAGCAGACTTTGTTGTTGTTGCAATGTATGGTATTTTTTGGAAGAGTACTGTCTACTGCAATTAGAAAGAGTATTCTTTAATGCTATAATGAGGCCTAACTTTGCATGAGTACTGAAATTTTTACATTACTGAGCAATTTGTTTTCTATGGCAAAGTACTTGAGAAAGTATTACAGTAACATACACTTTATTCTGTAAATTCTGATTAAATAATATACATCAATTTTACTGCTACCAAAATTAGTCTTGTTTAGTGCAGCAGAATAATTCAGACTAACAGCCTTGTAAAGAAAGAGATGATCTCTTGGGCTGTGGGTTAGTTTGACATACACCAGACACTGCCAGTCTGGATTGGCCAAAAGTACTTTACAGCCTCATGGTGTGCAGCCACCTGCAGGACGCAAAGCACTTGCTAGGCAGGCATCCTGCTACTGCTGCTTCTGCCCTTCTTAGTGCTTCACACCGAGACGTGAGCGTGCACCAGGGGAAGGCGAGCTGTGTGGGTGTCTTCAGTCAGTTGTTTTTTCCACTCTGCGTACCTCCCATATTTTTCTATAACTCTTCTGATGAAATTAATATTAATGACAGATAAAATAACAAACACGTACGGAAATGAAGAGGTAACCACTTGGGCAGAAAAAACCTTTTTTTCTGTCTAAAGAATCCCTAACAAAATCAACCTCATAGAATTAGAAACATACAGACTGGCTGGAGACCAATCCACCCATCCTGTAGTGTGGCAATACCCATACTATTTTAAAGGACATCTGAGTCACAAACACATTTTCTTGGAATCCTGGAGATTCCACAACATGCCAGCATAGCCCTTTCCAGTAAAACAGTGTGTCACTGCTTATAAAGCTTTCCCTTACACACATCATCACTTCTGTAAATTGTGTAAATGGAACAGTTAACCAACATATCTAATAATTTTTACATATTAGAAGTCTGATATCATATACCTTCAGCAACCTTTTTAACATAAACCATGTTGGATTAGTAATTCTTTCCTCATGTTAAAGTGTATCACCTTTCTTCCCTGGGTGCATAAAACTAATCTGTTCTCTTGCTCATGCCAGTCCTGTTAACGCATGCCAAAATGAGGATTTTAGTTCTTACCCTTCCAACAGAGTCACACTGCCAGCTCATCAGTTTATGGTATTAATGCCCGCGTTGCCCTGCTGTGTTGCTGCCTGGCTGCGTAACTTCCATACAGTGGTCAAATACTATACATAGAGCTTTGTGCATCTATGACAAACGAAATATAAGTCCCAACCACATTTTCAGTTTATAATACTCAGTTCTGTCTGTATTTGCAACCCAGACCTAGTTGGGGTCATGCAGGGTTTTTTTGCTTTTAATAAACTTGTGTTATATTCCAATTATTTAATAGACTTTTAGTGTAAGTTTTCAACTCATTTTATGCCTACCCAGTAGTTGTCGTATTTAGAATACATTCTCTTGAATTTGTTCCGAGATTTGAATGTGAGAAATTTGTCAAAATTCTTTCTAAAACCCTTCCATTTGCATCTTTATATTCCCTGGTTTTAATTAGGCTAATCTTCCAGTCAAAGGAGGATATTTGACTATTTACACAGATTCTTCTCAGCAAACTTAGATTAGCTGGTTTTTGCCTTTTTTTTCCCCATGGCTCTTTGCACATCAGTTGTGACTTTGGGATCTTTGACACAAGTCAGCATCTTTGGCACACTGAATTTAAACTGACATAATTTCCTTGTTTTATAAAGGCAAAAAAATTATTTGCCTATTTTTAATTGTCCAGGCTTTTTACTCTATCCTAATTGGCTGTACTTTCTTAAACTATTACAGTTTTTCTTGCCTTCCTTCAGATTCCTGCTAGTATACCTACCGCCTTCCTGCTGCACTTTCTGAACTCTAGGTTCTTGTCATCTACAGAGTTAACAACTATTTGCTTCATGATAGCCTTGATTCATTTCTTTGAACCAGTCCTGTCAATCTGAACCCAGCTATCTCATGTTTACTAAACACTGTTCTTCCCTTATTCTGGCCTGTGGCTGTGTTCTGCTGTTAAAATACATTTTTGTAAGTCATATATTTTTCTGTCAGAGCTGAAGCAAGAAGGTGTATTATACTTACTATTTTCTGTTAACAGCAGACTTTTGCTTCCCTTAGTTTTTCTCTTATACCTAGCATCTTTAAAGACTATTCACTTTTTAAAATTATTTGCTAATAAACTTTTTTTGTCTTGGCACACATTTAGCAATTCCAGGTCACTTTTAATTCACATTGCCTTCTATTTCAATTAAGTCTCAGTGGATCCAAATCTAAAATTGTTACTCTTCACTGGTATCTTTTATCTTCTGGCATGTCTTTCCCCAAACAAACAATTAAATTGATTCTGAGAGATGGTTTTCCTAAAAATATATAATAGAGTAGAATTTTAAAGATACAATTAAGTTGCTAGCTCCAAGAGGTTTTGTTAGGCTTAACCCCAGCAGACTAATGACAAATGGAAGGAGTATA